TTAAATACTTACATGTCAATAATTAAAATATTTGTAAGAAAGTTTATCAATTACATTAAATATATGCATAAAAATATTTTTAGATTTCGGTTAAAATTATTTACAATATATAAAGACTTGAAGGACGATGTATTCTTGGTTGCCGGCAGCTATAGGTGTTTAAATATAGGTTCAAATTGTAGTTCTACTTGTTCGTTTAATAAGTTATTTTTGTTTCTTTTTTTATGTTTGTATATTTCAAAGGCTTCCAATAGAGTTAGCTTTAGTCCTTTTCCTTCTTGGTGTATTAGTTTTATGTTTTTCCAATCTTTAAAATTGTGCCCGCTTATTTCTAAATGTCTACCAAAGTTTGATGTTTTTCTGTCCTTTATGTGTTCTTTAATTCTGGTTCTGAGTGTTCTTCCTGTTTCTCCTATATATTCGGCATTACATTCTTCACATTTAATTTTATAAACACCGCTTTTATCGAGGTAGTGTGTGTTATCTTTTCCATTTCTTAGGTGGTTAATAATGTTTTCTTTTTGTGTTGTGGCGCTATTAATTTCAAATGTTTTAAGGATTTTAGATATTCCTTAAAACATTTGAAATTAATAGCGCCACAACACAAAAAGAAAACATTATTAACCACCTAAGAAATGGAAAAGATAACACACACTACCTCGATAAAAGCGGTGTTTATAAAATTAAATGTGAAGAATGTAATGCCGAATATATAGGAGAAACAGGAAGAACACTCAGAACCAGAATTAAAGAACACATAAAGGACAGAAAAACATCAAACTTTGGTAGACATTTAGAAATAAGCGGGCACAATTTTAAAGATTGGAAAAACATAAAACTAATACACCAAGAAGGAAAAGGACTAAAGCTAACTCTATTGGAAGCCTTTGAAATATACAAACATAAAAAAAGAAACAAAAATAACTTATTAAACGAACAAGTAGAACTACAATTTGAACCTATATTTAAACACCTATAGCTGCCGGCAACCAAGAATACATCGTCCTTCAAGTCTTTATATATTGTAAATAATTTTAACCGAAATCTAAAAATATTTTTATGCATATATTTAATGTAATTGATAAACTTTCTTACAAATATTTTAATTATTGACTATGAGGCGCCGTTTGTGTCATAATTATAAATAAAAAAATATGTTAATATAAAACAATATTTTAAAAATATATAAATGTAAATCAAAAATTATAAAATATAAAAATTTGCGTAAATATATTTTATCAATAAAATTTATATTTATATATATATATATATATATATATTTATATAAATATATATTATCACACAAAGGTATTTATATTTCCTTAACCGTTATCATTTATATTTTTAGCAGTTTATCCATATATATTTTTAGCATGTGCCATAATATCCTTATTAACCAATATAATCAAATCAAATCAAATTAACCTTGCTAAAAATGGACTACAAAAACCTTAGAAAATACAAAGGGATGTTTTAAAAAAAAACATACGAAATCCTAACCTCCGTGAAGCTCTAATATTCAAAATGTGTGATTTCTTAAAATTCTTGCATTAGTGCAGAACCACTTGTGTTATGTTATTACTAGACCTGGTGGCTTCCCAAAAACCCCATTCTAGACTTAGAGTGAAACAACCAAAAATAAAAATATTCATTTTCACTTGGGGGACATCTCAATATATTCACCCATATAGGCCCATAAAAACAAACAAAGATCCAAAAAGTTTAGCTCAAAACAGCAACACAAAAAATAAATTCAACTTTAAAATATTATGAACAATATTTATATACAAATAATAGTTATTTATGTCATTAGGTTAAGAAGTAAGGCTTTGTGTTGGCATACAACATTTTATCTTCAAAGCACTTTATATAGGTCAATTTAATTCAACATCAAAGCGGCCTAACCTCACTTTTTTAGAATCTCATTTATTTATTAGCTGAAGATTACATTAAATGTACAATAATTATTATTGCTTTTAGAAGCAGTAATAGTTTGACAATACCTAGCAACATGATTTAAGTAGAAATGGATTTTTGCTATTATATTATTGAATTTAATTAATTATTTAATAAATAGGTATTTATCTAATTTCAATTTGTTTGGATTTTTATTTAAAAAATAGGTAGTTTGGAATGTTTAAGCTGTTAACTTAAAGATAATTTAAATCGTAGAAAAATAATCGTGCGTTTTCTTGGTTGCCTAACCTCACTTTTTGTTTTATTATTCATATTTAATTTTACAATAATTTAATGAAAAATATTAAACATTAACAGTAAAACAAACAAATTAGTGCTTATTATAAATAAATTAAACCAGTTTAGTACGTTAATTTCTTAGAAAAGGATTAATTTGTCAAAACAATACCCCTAGCGAAAAAAAATCGAACTAATTACTTGCCTCATAAAATTTTTTATCGGCCTAGGCCATAACAAGGTATTTCTTTATCGAATGTTGACAACAATAAAGTTTAAATTATAGACCGCGTGGAGATAAAATTTATTTTTATAAAAGTGACTGATAGCGCATTGGTTATGACATTTTTAAATTTAAATCTACTTCATTCAGTAGAATTTGACTAATTATTAGTGACTGCTTTTTCGCTATGACAATTAGTCAAATATTACTTATAATTAGTTAATTTTGACTAATTCATTTTAATTCATATATGAATCCTACATAAATAAATAATTTTAAAGTTACCAAAGGTAGTAACGATAATTTTTATTAGGGAACATATTGCCACAATTTTGACAGTGCACAATATGGCATCGCTCCCGCATGAGAATGTTATTTACAAGAACCATGTGGCTGATGCACAACCAAACACACAAACTTGTATGATAAACGATGAAAGTTCCTATTTCTGCACACTACCAAACATATAAACTAATTAAGTTTCTACATACGTCGAAAATCCATAACAATTTAAACTCCTACCCAGTGTGAATGGCTCTTGTTTTATAATATTGTGAAAAAAATAATATTTAAGATAAAAATATTTTTTTTGAACTGTTGATTGACCTTAGTTACGATGTTAAAATATACATTTTTATTCATATTTTAATTTGACATACAGGGTGTAAAATTAAGATGAATTATTTATTTGGGAAAAAAACTTCCTACTTTTGAACCCTGTATATGCTCAAATTAAAATCCGGATAATTTTTTTATCACAAAATCGTAACTGAAGAATCAACCTACAATTAAAAAAAAAATCATTCAATTTGGAAAAGCGGTTTATTTTGCCGGTGAGTGTATAAACGAATTTGATTTGTGGGTCATTTTCAAGAAACACCCGCTTTCAGGAAAATGAAGACCAAAATATTTTTTTGCTTAAATTGACTTTTGGTTGGATTCTTATAAATGTTTAGAGTTTTGTTTACTTACATTTAAGACAGGCAGTGCACTTTTTAATTTTTTTACGTTTTTTTCAAAAAAATGTGTTAGCTAGCTTTATATATCTCCACTGTGTTACCAATTTGAAATCCAAAATTTAATTCAATAAAAAAAATAATTTGAAATAAAATGTACTTAGTTCACAAACTTTTGACTCCAATTTTTTATTTTATTTTTTATTAAAAATTGTATGCTTTTTTTTAAATATGTATGTTCGTTAAGTTACTTTTTAAAAGAAACCATTCCTATTCTTTGTTAAAAAAAAACAATACCATTAATATTTTCTTTTAGTCACTGTATTAGTAAATTAAACTCTAATTTATAAACACGTATTACCAAGTGATAGTGTATAAAAAGCATTTTAAGTATTTTTTTTAACAAAAACTAAAAAAGTAACGAAATAGAAATTGGTATCACAACGGGCAGGGGTACACAAAGGAAAGTAAAAAAGAAACTATATAGGGTGGTACGATTTTAGAGTAATGCATAAACAAAATCCCTTGTAGTGGTGCTCACTTGCAAAATAACAACTTAGATTTCTAAATTGTAGACACCCTTTTTCTTTGACTATAAGCTGGTGAAGGTCCCTTTTAGTACTTTTATATTGCGTGGAATTTTTCCTTGGATATAATCTATATCATGAGTTGTAATTACAAATAATTTTAAATTGGTTAATCATAAACTACTTTTAATAAAAGCGACGGTAAATATCCACTTTGTTGTCGAAAAATTCTATTGCGTTACCCTAAATTCCATTGCGTTACTATAAGTTAACATAGTGGACTCGGTAACGCAGTGGACAAAGTTTTGTAAAACTATATTTAAAAAATAATAATAAGACATTATAGTCATTACTTACTCTCAATGAGCTTTAGTGCCCTATAATAAACATAAACATGAAAAATAGTATTTTTTCTTACCTTATTTTTATTATTTTATGAGTAACTTAGCGGACAAACAATTATTACATTCGCGTTTCCCGCACCTGTTTCAACCGATATCTTCTCCCTGATTGAATAAATAAATTCAGCTGGGTAATGTGTACGTCCGAACATCATTTGTTGATCACGTAAGTGCCAAAAAAGTTGCCATATATATGTTTTTATTAAATATTCTATCGGTAACGCGACGGACGTAACGCAACGGAAAGAATGTCTGGGACATGAGTCAAATTTAAAAAAAAGTAGATTAAAATTAATTATTTAATATATAAATTGTTTACTGTATTAACTAAGGATGTTATGGATTGCTATAAAGCAACACAAAGTTCTGGTTATTCAATATTAAAAAAAAATCATGTATGTAAGTTTTATAAAACGCTAATGGGACATGCGAAAATGTGTGTTTCACAAGTTTCAAAATTAAAAAAAATTATTCTGAAATAACTAAACAAACATTTTCTGAAAGAGTTTACTAAGGGCTTGTTAGGCTTTCACTTGGTTTTTAAATCAATAAGATCCGATAATTTTTAACAAAGTTATTGGAATTCAAACTTACGGACAGTGGAAGGCGGGTGTTTTTTGAAAACGACCCATGTGCATAAAAATCCCACAAAAAATCAATTCAATGCATAGATTGCAAACATCTATATTTACAAACTTACCGAGTCCAGCGTGTCCAAAACAGAATAGACAGCCATCAGTTCCATTGATTACAGCATGGATGACATCCGTTAAAGCACTGGAGCACACTTCAGTCTGAAATATAAAGAATGCCCGTATAAATGCCCAGAATTCTCTACAAATATCATTTAGAGTTTTTGGAGCCTAAATACAGTGTACGAGGAAAGAACTTCAATCCTTTGTTATATTCGATATCAAGTATTTGTGTTTAAAAATCCTCAAGTTTTAAAATATTTCTATTGATTATACGGCCAGTTTTGCAAGCAAAAATATATAGAAATACATGGCCATTTTATTTTATAGTTAATATCGCAATAAAACTATAAACTGGTTTTCTAGATCCTTAACTCAAATATGTACCGTTATAATTTAGGAATAATTGCGAAGCAAAGCCAACAGAATCCCATGTGCATTGTTTCCCATATTCTTAAGAATAAATAGTGGAGAAGAGGAGACAAAAGGAGGAAAAGCTCGATTCAAGTGTAAATGGTAATCTCCCCCATTATATCGAATTTATTTTGGGCGGCATAAAATGCTAAAAGAGATATATGTCTTACGGTTGAAACACTTAAAGAAATGCAAAGAAATCTTAAAAAAGATTGAACACGACTTTTACATTTGTGCTTCCCCCTTACAGGTTGATTGGTTCTCTCGTCGTCTTCGCTACTGCAGCGGCCTTTGCCGAAAGACGGGAGACTTTGAATTCAGTCCTGCCAACTTCAGATACACAAATTGCAAAGGGTTTAAATTTTAATTAACCAAAGGGCCAAACTCATACATAATTTATTAAAACACTTTTTTGTTATGGATATAGGTCCCTAATTTTTTAAACATAAAGTTATCACAGTAAAAATTCCCGAAGACATGTTGTTTCTAAATATGTGGACAGGTTGGCCAAAATTATTATTATAACTTATGTCAGAAATAAGAATGTTAACTTAAGCTAGCTACAACTTTTTTGTAAAAAAAAATAAAATGAAGTGTTTTTTCAAACAAACCTCCCATTTCTTACTAATTGTCATAGCGAAAAAGCGTTAGCAAAATAATTCATCAGTCAATTTCCATGTTGTCAATAGTTAGAAAAGTAAAATAGTTTTTGAGATTCAGTCAATTTTCCATATAATATGAAAATTACTTAGTATATCTCAAAAAATTCTCTAGTTTCAATTGGCTGTTAATTGATGGGGATATAATTGTATCCCATGGTTAAGCATGGTGTAAGTGAAAAAGCAGCCACTAATAACTGTAGTAACTAGTCATTTTTGACTAATTTATGTTTAGAGAGTAGGGAAACTTGAAATTCAAAACAGTACTAAGCAATTCGTTAATTTAAAGAAGTAAAAAATTCAGACATCACGGCTGTCAGCATTTCAGTTAGATCCTGAATGCAAAACGAACCCCCTGAGTTCTCAAAGGTGCATTGCGACAGTCTACCGCCCTGCAACAACTGATAAATTACCCCTATACAGTGCAGGGTTTAGAATTCTTCCTATTCTCTAATCATTTTTTAATTTACCAAAATTTTATTTGTACATTTATTTTTTGAATTCATTGCTAAGATAAGTAAAATTTAAGTAAAAATTTCAAAAATTGATTGCATTGTTTACAAGATGACTGTCGTGCAAAGGGCGGGCTCTGTAGGTAATTTTTTTTACCAACATTGAGTTAAAACGAAAACTTGACGTTTAAACTTCAATATTTCTCAGGAATTTTGAATTTTAACATTGGACACAGAACTGACGGGTAAAAATGAGTACAATGATTATCAATTTTTTAAAAATTGCTATTATTTGAATCTATGATAAAATATGAAAAATACATTATTTAAAGTTTTATAGTTTGTAGTGAAATTAAAAAATTTAAGATAAATTGAATATATTTTAAAATAAAATCACAAAAATATTTGATTCAGGAGTTGTGACACGCCAAGGTACTGATATTTTGAATATTTATTGTTTTCTACAAACGTGCTTTTGAAAAAATACATTAAAATTGGGTGGACAAGTTAAAAAAACCGGGTTCTTTTGTTATTTACTAAAATATTAAAATACCTACTCTATTGACTGATGACATCAAGTTGACCAACTTTTGTAGAATCACCCATATTTATTAATATTTAAAACAGGCAAAGAGAGGTTAACCCAAAGATAATAATATAATATTAATTATCTTTGGGTTAACCATTTAACACATGTCAGATTATACTACTGTGTTATAAAAACCAGTGTGATAATGGCTCTTGTTTATATGCTTGAAAAACTATTATAATGTAAAAAGTTACTATTGTAGCTGTAAAGTTGTTTGTTTTGTGATGCTTAGTAGAAAGGAATTGAACACGAAGTATGTAAAACTTAACTCTTTATTCAGTTAACTGCTGAATAATACAATGACTTAAATGGTAGCTTAATTATTTAACAATATTCCTTTCTAGAGCGGCTGTACTAGCCTGACTAACTATTTTAAAAGAAGTCATCCCTCGGTAAGCCCTTGGGGGAGGAGCTTTAAGTGGCGCATGCCGCTTGAGGCGCTTAAGGCACTTATATTGAAAATTTACAAACATACCGCCCACCTTGAAAGGAGGCCTTTCAATGAATTATTAGGGCATAAATAATAAAATATAAACATTAGTACAGTAGTGAATCAAACAATAATCACTAGGGCTAAAATTAATAACTAAATACTAACTACATCAGTATTAACAAGTAATTTTAAATTTTATATACAATGTTTAATGTTTAATGTTTTTAGTCACTGGCACCTTTCTCTTCGATCGGAAGCGCGCACACCTTTGACATTGCTCTCTTAAACACACCCGTTTGTGTTTTCACTGTCACTACACGACACACGTTGTCCGTACCGTAGTGTTTTTCTAAAATGCGCCCCAACTTCCATTGCATTACAGGAACGTTGTCTTCTTTGATCACGACTAGTGCTCCAATGGGTATACCGGGTGTCGCCTTATGCCATTTAGACCTCACCTGGAGTTCGGAAATATATTCCTTGGACCAACGTGACCAAAAATGTTGTCGGATCTGAATTAAGTGTTGATATCTCGACAATCGCGTAGTTTTCATTTGAGTCAAGTCAGGTTCAGGTAAACTCGTTATCGACCTTCCGATTAGAAAGTGACCGGGAGTCAAAGGAGTCAAGTCATGGGGATCATTTGAAAGAGGGGTCATTGGACGGGAGTTCAGTATTGATTCAATTTCAGTTAAAATTGTATAAAATTCCTCAAAAGTAAATATACTACCCTTTGTCACGCGAATTAAATGGTGTTTGACGCTTTTTACACCTGCCTCCCAAAGTCCGCCAAAATGTGGAGACCTTGGAGGAATAAAACTCCAGTTTATTCCTTCATTTGATATTGCGTTAGAAATAAAAGCATTATTATCATCAATGAATTTAAATAGATTGCGTAATTCAGATGATGCGCCCACAAAATTGGTACCATTGTCTGATACAATGCGAGAAGGACGACCTCTCCGAGCAATAAAACGTTTAAAAGCCGATAAGAAATGCTCGACATCTAATGCAGTAACCAATTCGATATGAATTGCTTTGGTGGCAAAGCAAACAAATAAACAGATGTATGCCTTTAAAGTTTTACAGCCACGGCCCTTTCTATCCTTAAGGGTGAATGGGCCGGCGTAGTCAGTGCCAACGACATTAAATGGACTATTAATATTTACACGGTCGGAAGGTAAATTTCCCATAATTTGATTATTGCTCTTAGGATTGGCCTTAAAACATGTTATGCAATTTCTTGTAACCTTTCTTGCAAGATTTCTACCTGCTATTGGCCAGCAGTATTCGCGAATTGATGACAAAAGAAGCTGAGGGCCAGGGTGCAGTAGACGTTTATGCTCATATGAAAATAATAATGTCGCGAGAGGGTGTTTAGCATCCAAAATAACTGGATGTTTTTTATTATAAGTATAATTAGAATTGCTTAACCTGCCCCCCACCCTGATCAATTTATCATCAAAAATAGGATTTAATGCCGACAATTTATTTTTGTGCCCAAGACTTTTACCTTGTGATAGTTTAGCGTATTCTTGTGAGAACGATTCCCTTTGCGCAACTCGCAAAAGTATATTAAATGCCTTGTCTAATTCTGTTGCCGACAAAGGGCCGCTAAGTCGATTTGGCTTTGGCGAGCAAAACCGCAAAATATATGCCATTATACGTTTCAATTTGTTTAGTGACGAGAAAGTTTTAAACTTAAAAAATGATTCTTCGTTAATGCTGGCTAAACTAACACTCGTAGTTTTTATGTCGGGAATTTCTTCCAAGTCACAATTAACGATAGGCCAGGTAATATTTAATTTGTGGAGCCACGGTGGGCCTTCCCACCATAATGAAACTTCTTGCAACTGACTCGGACTTATGCCTCTAGATAGCAGATCCGCGGGGTTATCTGCAGTTGATACGTGCCCCCAAGAATTTGAATCGCTTAAAGATTGAATAGCCGCTACTCTATTGGCGACAAAGGTGTTTAAGCGATTTGGCTCTAACTGAAGCCAAGCCAAAACAATAGTTGAATCTGTCCAATATCGAACAGTTGCTAACTTTACATCCAACGATTCTATTGCCTTTTTTGCGAGTTCGGCAGACACTAATGCCGCGCTGAGTTCTAATCTAGGTATGGTCAAAATTTTTATAGGTGCCACCTTTGTTTTTGAACATAACAGTTTAACCTGCACATTGCCTTCGTTATCTACAGATTTAATGTAAAGACATGCGCCGTAAGCATTTTGGCTTGCATCAGAAAAGCAATGCAATTCGACTACTTTTGGTTTCGAAATAATAACGCGTCGCGGAATTTGAATGTTATTTACATAAGGTAATTGATTATAAAGCTTTAACCAATGCGTTTGGAGAGCTTGAGGGAGCGATTCGTCCCAAGTGGCTTTCGATTGCCATAATTGTTGCATAAAAATTTTGAACTGAATGACGACAGGTGACAATAGTCCCAATGGATCAAAAATCTGTGCTATACATGAAAGTATTTTTCGCTTTGTTAAATTACTAACACAATCAAGGTTAATTGAGAATTCAAACGCGTCGTCTTTGGGATTCCACCATAACCCTAAGGTTTTTGTTTTTTCATTTTCACCGATTTGTAATATTTTTAATTCTGAATCACGCTTAATGAATTGTAGGGCCTGGGGTTCATTTGAAACCCACTTTCTAAGCTCGAAACATCCAGATGATAAAATTTCAGAAATTTGTCTTATATACTCTATCGCCTCGTCTAATGTATCGCAACCCGATAAAAAATCATCAACATAAAAATCCCGTAGGATGGCTTGAGAGGCTTGAGGATAGATGTATTTATGATCATGGGCTGTCTGCTGCAAAGATCTTATCGCAAGAAAAGAACCAGATGCTGTGCCATAAGTGACTGTGTTTAAATTATATATTTTTAACGGTTCATTAGAATTCTGGCGCCATAAAATGGATTGAAGTGATCTGTGTTCAGGAGAAACGAGAATTTGCCTGTACATTTTTGTTACATCGGCAGTAACGGCAACGTTGTATTTGCGAAAACGAGATACAATAGAAAAAAGGTCTTGTTGGATAACGGGACCTATGGCTTGAATATCATTAAGAGATATGCCTGTCGTGGTTTTTGAGGATGCATCAAATACAACTCTTGTTTTGGAGCTTAGACTGTGATTTTTAATTACCGCATGATGCGGAAGGAAATAATGTGAATGAGTAGCGGATGTACGATTATTGTCTAAACTCATGTGATTTAACTCAATATATTCATTTATAAATGAAGTATAAGACTCTTTTAATTCAGCATTTGAATTAAATTTGCGCTCAAGAGCATAAAAGCGTTTCCTTGCGTTTTCGTAAGAATTTCCCAATATTTTAGGATCACGTTTAAAAGGAATGTTTACTATAAATCGACCATCTGCATCGCGTCTTGTGTGTTCTACAAAATGTTTTTCGCAGAAGTTTTCTTCCTTGGACATTGTAGCCGATGTAGGCATTGAAATATTTTCAATTTCCCAGAATTGGGACAAGTTATGAGCTAAGTCGTTCGAAAAATTACATTGAGAGACAGATTGATTTATTATATGACTGGGAAGCTGTAGAGGTCCGGAAACGACCCACCCAAAGAGGGTTTTTTGTAATATTGGCTTTCCTGCCCCTAATGAGATTTGACCAACCGACAATATGTTAAAAAAGTTACCAGCCCCGATTAATATATCGATAGGGCCTGGTCGGGTAAACGTAGGATCAGCCAAAATCACATTGGGCAATGTAAGATTTACATTGTTTAATGATATAGAAGGAAGTTGGTCTGATATTTTTGGAATAACTAGGCAAGAGAGATCTAGTGCGAAATTGTTATGCCGAGCCATTAATTGAATCTTTGTTTGGTAATTTATTTGAGTAGAGGCCGAATTTAAACCGCTAACCCTGTGATTAATTTCCGATTTTGACAGGTGCATCTTATTACACAATTCTTGGGTTATAAAATTAGACTGAGAGCCGCTGTCCAATAAGGCTCTGCATTCATGAGTGTTACCAAATCTATCACGTAATTTAACCAAAATCGTAGAAAGTAATACATGCGTATTTGTTTGAACATTGAAAGCTTGATGAAATGAATTACTAGTGTTTGTTGTAACTAAATTCGAGGTAGGTTCATGATTGGCACTACTTGATTCTGGATTGATGTCATGTAAATTACGTGTACCTGTTCGATCCATATGTAAACAAGTATTGTGCCTGCGACCACATTTTCTACAGTTACTAGATTTACAATCGATAGATTTATGACCTGGCTTAAGGCAATTAATACAAAGCCCCTTAGCTTTGACAAACTCCAGGCGATTTGCTGGCGCCAAATGTATTAGTTCCTTACAATTGTAAGTAGGATGAGCGCCCTTACAGATGGTACATGTTGTATTTGAGACGTAAAAATTCTTAGAGGTAGTTTTAATGGATTTAAAGTTATTTTTATTAGGGGTAGATTTATGACCTAAAGAATCTAGCAAATCGCACTTGTTGAGTAAGAATGTTTTTAAGTCATTAATTGTAGTTGCAGGTCGCTCTGCTTTGTATTCTTCCCAAGCCCTAAATGTTTTTTCATCGAATTTACGCGAAATGAGATAGACTACTAATGTGTCCCAGTGTTCAGTAGGCTGACCTAATAATTTTAACGCACGCAGATTTTTATTCATGCCATCAAGAACCTTTCTTAATAAATAGGCTGATTCATTTTGAGGAGGTTGCAAATTACAAAGAGCTTCTACGTGTGAATCAATGAGACGCCTATTATTATTAAAGCGATCGCAGATTAAATCCCAAGCTAGGGTATAATTATCAGCTGTAAACGCTATACCTTCTATTATTTCCTTAGGTGTTTTTAAAACTGATGATTTTAAATAGTGGAATTTTTCAATGGGATCTAGTTTAGAATTATTATTAATTAATGAGTTAAAGGTTTCACGATACTCTAACCAGTCTAGCAAAGTACCGTCGAATATAGGCAATGGAATCGTTGGCAATTTCAAAAAACTTGACCGCGTACTACTTAGATCAAATACGTTTGAGCCCGGCGGTTCGCCGTTGCTACTGCTATCACTAGGTAAAATTTGTTTGGGACTATGTACGAGAACGATTTCTTGTGATCGGCTATATAAATCAAGGTAAGTGCTATCGATATCGGCTCGGTACGCATATTGCTCGGGGAGGTTATCGTCCCCAATTACTAATTGCTCAATTTCATCCTGAATTTGTTCAAACTCTGAAAATGCCGTTGTTATGCGCTTTAATGTTTCTTTAACAGCGGCTATAGTGCCTTCCGATAACGCGATGCTACCTGTATCAGTAGCAGTAGAAATTCTATTTTTCAGTTCATCTTCCACTGATTTTAAATATTTCGAAAAGTTCGTAAATTTAGTTTTGAGACTACCGCGTTTTCGCGTTAAGTTACTTAACTCTGACATGTTGATTGCGAATCAATACTGACTTATGTAAAGGAAAATAGTATGTAAAGGAAGGTACTCACTTTCTGACTCGTATGGGATATCCTATACGACGATGATGTTTTATTCCAATGCGTATGTGTAGATGCAGTGCTGTACTTAGCACTCGATGTGTATGATATATTTCACGTATTATATGAAATGAATGTACGCTGCACTTAGCACTCGATGTGTATGATGTATTCCACGTATGATGCGAAATGAATGTACGCTGCACTTAGCACTCGATATGTATGATGTATTCCACGTATGATACGAAATGAATGTACGCTGCACTTAGCGCTCGATGTATTCCACGTTTGATACGAACTGAATGTACGCTGCACTTAGCGCTCGATGTATTCCACGTTTGATACGAAATGAATGTTCGCTGCACTTAGCACTCGATGTTTATGATGTATTTTACGTATTATACGAAATGAATGTTTGCTGCACTTAGCACTCGATATGTATGATGTATTCCACGTTTGATACGAAATTAATGTTCGCTGCACTTAGCACTCGATGTTTATGATGTATTTTACGTATTATTTGAAATTAATGTTTGCTGCACTTAGCACTCGATATGTATGATGTATTCCACGTATGATGCGAAATGAATGTACGCTGCACTTAGCACTCGATATGTATGATGTATTCCACGTATGATACGAAATGAATGTTCGCTGCACTTAGCACTCGATGTTTATGATGTATTTTACGTATTATTTGAAATTAATGTTCGCTGCACTTAAAACTCGTTGTGTATGTATGCGAAGTTTGCTTTGGATATGTATATATCCGGTTCGAAGGACCAATGTAAAGTTGTTTGTTTTGTGATGCTTAGTAGAAAGGAATTGAACACGAAGTATGTAAAACTTAACTCTTTATTCAGTTAACTGCTGAATAATACAATGACTTAAATGGTAGCTTAATTATTTAACAATATTCCTTTCTAGAGCGGCTGTACTAGCCTGACTAACTATTTTAAAAGAAGTCATCCCTCGGTAAGCCCTTGGGGGAGGAGCTTTAAGTGGCGCATGCCGCTTGAGGCGCTTAAGGCACTTATATTGAAAATTTACAAACAGTAGCTGCCATTAACATTTTTTAAAACCCGAATTAAGCTTTAATCAATTAAGGATTTACTTGATTTAGATAAATTTTGTAAAATGTAGATGTACAAAATAATCATAAAGTTGACTTTCGGCTAAATCCGGCCCTGCCCCGCCAATTGCATTTATGTCGTTAACATTCTGGCTTTTGTTTAGCCGCCCGTCCAATTTTTAACGCTTTCAAAATTTTAATATGCTTTATAATTTCAATTAACGCATAATTGGGTTAGTTAAGTTGGTTATGTAAATAAATGATTTTCAGAAAAAATTACACTTTTTATAGCGGAAGTATTTACCTGTGAATCATCCTGCGAGAAGACAGCATCAAAAGCAAACATTTTTGGAGCCGCTACGCCAACTTTGCGGTCCTCAGGAGTCGACCCATTGCAAGAAGAAGGATCAATCAGAGTCAACTGTTTCTTTCGTTTATCCAAATTGAAGAATGTGTTTGCGCTGCTTCCTTCAGAATTTTGTCCTGTACTCGACACCCTTAACATCACTTTCACCTGAAAAAAAAAGAAATCATTGTTAGTAACATCAAACTGGAATGTAACGAATGCCTGGGGCAACTGGCAAGAGGCAATACAATCTGCCTCATTTGGTCATTCAGGGATTCAAGGCAATAAAAAGCTAACTTAATGGGTTCGAGGAAATCGGTAATAGGGCCAGAACTATTCTGCGCCCACGGAAAAAAAGCTGCACTAAATTAAAGGATATACTAGTTTCACTATTCCACAAGAAAACAATATTTGATTCTAATATTGCCCTATTCTTAAAATTTAGGTAAGTTTCACTTATATCAATATATCAATGTAGAAATCAAAATAGGCAAGCAAGGGCTGAAATCCTACCACTGGAACAACCTTGAACAAGCCAACTAGGCACTGGCAATACTGTGGGAACAACAGTCTTTTGCTTCTAAACAGAAAATATCTGAAACAGATAGTTTGAATCACCACAGATTACCAAACAGATAATGCGCATTTAAAGAGATGGGCAAGGTGAATAATGATTTCTGCAAATTCTTTAGGACAAAGAATACTGACACCATCTTTTGGTGGCAACCCCTATCAACAAAAATCTTAGAAATAGTGATGCAAGAACACGAATTTCATACTTCAAATCGTAGCTTGAATTGGACCCAATGGTAACATAACAAAAGATCTAAAGGTTGTTAAATAATAAATAATAGCTTCATCCAACAAATATATGCTTTTGCACGACATATCCATAACTCATTGTTAGACCATACTTTACCATTTTGACACTTTGTAACAGTAAAGTAAAGTAAACACAGCGGATTTTTAAACAACCTTTTCACACGTAAACGTGATTATTGTTAACACGTACATAATTAGGTTTGCGCAAAGCGATCATATCACCGGTGTCGGTGATGCATGTTTTTTAAGATTGTTAAGCGCACCACCACCCGCCATGCTGAGCCTAATAAATCCGTCAAGTGTTAAACCCTGCGCCGCGTCGACAGCACGATATCTCTAAATTTCTCTCGATCTCCGAGCCGATCGTTTTGCACCGATTTTCTTTCCGACCGCAAATCATTGGAAGCAAGGTGTGAAAACGACAGCAAATGAGTTTTTATTGAACACGTTTAAGTTGGACCACAAATTTACCTTTTATATAAATATAAAAACTCTCAATCCAATGATATCATAAATAACTTTGGTGTCCCACAAGGGACAGTGTTAGGTCCTATTCATTTTATTTTGTACATAAATGATATTGTTTAAGTTATAAAAAATTGTGAAATGTGTATTTTTGCAGAGGATGCTATGTTGACTATGTGTGGAAAAGATGTTTTAAATATGGTAGAATGTATATAGGTGGCTTTGTGTTAAAAAAAAGTAAGTTCATTGTGTTGGGATCAAAACATAGTTTTATAAAATCCATTTTAGTTACGAGTTCAATTAAGCCCGAGCGATGCTTGCGAGCGAGTGTTTAATAAAAACGACTGAGTCAGGGCTGGGAAAGTTACTTCTGAAAAGTATTTAGTTACTTTTCTAAGATACAAAATAGCTTAGTTACCTCGGGTAACTAGATACTTTGAGTTGAAAGTTTCTTTAGTTACAAGATACTTTAGAAAGTATCTAAGATACTATATGAAAGTACTTTTCAGTAACTAAGTTTCTTTTAAGTTTGAATAAAAACTATAAAATTCTGAAAATTGCGTTTCGTACTGTCCCCTATTTGGGGCTCGAGACATGCGAATAGTTTTAATAGCCATTCTCGGGTTCGCCGAGCCGATGCTATACGCCCAGTAGGGTATAGAGGAGGAGGGACGGGAGGGATAGAAGTTTGTTGGTTTTTGGGGGACAATTACGCCGACTTAAAACTAAGTACGACGCTGGATCCCCCTAGACCAGTCGATTAGTATTACTCCAAACATTTGGGATTACTATTTGGAGTTGGGGATTTGTTATTTCGCTGCAGGGTAGTTTCCTATTCGAGGTCTTCGTCTTGTTCGTTATTGTCATTGTCCGTATCCTGGTCAGATAGTTCCTGCACTTGGTAAAGTGTGTCAGTTGATTTTTTTATTTTATTTTTATTGTTGCTTAGTTGCTCCCAACTGGTCTTGTTATTAATTTGTGAGAAGTGCATGTTTTGTGCTAACGTGTCATGAAATGTGAAGCATGGTCTCCCGACTTTTTTGTCTGTAAGGTCTAGTTTAAGGGTGGCGTGTAGTATGTTGTTGCATTGCCCAAGAGTGACGTGGGCCCAGTATTTTAATTGGGCTACTCTTACCCTTTTGGTAATGGTTTTGCCCATTAGCAGGTCGCGGGGATGTTGGTGATGGTAGTCGGGTAAGTCTGTCGTTAGTAATGTAATGATCTTCCGTTCAAGTTTGCGTAATTTTTGTCCCAAGCACGTTTTGTGGTAGAGTTTTGTCTTTTTTCTTAAATTCCAAAATTAAGTATTAAAAACGAGTTTTCATCAGATAAATCTAAATATTTAGATAAATTATTTAAATTTTGAAGATAGTCTTTTCCTATTTTTAATGCATTTCCGTTATACTTATTTATTAAATTAGTAAACCATTGTTTATAATATTGAAAGATACCAAAAAATACACGAAAAATATCCAAATATTTACCACATATAAAAACACTGTTTATAGAGAAACTAAACTTGTCACTCAATGACGTCAGAGGATAAAGAGAACATACCTTGTTGTTTTGACTAATTTATTTTTAGAGAGTAAGAAAATTATAAAAAGTTTGTTGTAAAAGGAAAGCATCGTTGACATGAACGTAAAAAACCAATATTGCAAGTTTTGGCAATTCGCCCTCTTTCAAACACATGACATATTCCGCGCATAGCATTCAAAATATTTATCAATATCGGCATGACCCAGTTTATGCAAAATTTCTTCGACTATCTATCCTTCATTTTCCGCCTATTTAAAACCGCACTCCTTCCCTTCATCGTCACTATTTTGACGCGTGATGACGAACGCCTGGCAAATGATATTAGGCTCGTATATTTCGGTCGCTAAGAAGACGACTAACTGAGGTGCTATCCGTGCAAAATCTACAAACCCAATTTCCGTCGTCGGAACATCGATCTCTCAAATCAGCCTAACTGCTCACGGCCTCCTTTGCTCCTTCAGCTTCTTGTCACGCGCTGTATCTGCTACATATTTTATGGGCAAGTCTCAGCTAAAACTTTTTTCTTCAGTGAAGGATTTTAAAAGATCTGAGTCAATATAACATGTATTATTATATTATATTTTCTTTGATGTCTTCTTAAATGTCCATAAAGTTTTTGTTAAGGATTTTTACAAATAAACAACCGTTACCAATAGCTATCAAAGCCCAGTTTTCTGGATTAAAGCATTGGGTTTGCTAACTTGACGTTTTTTAAGTTTGCTAGTTTTTATAGGTATTATAAAAAGTATAGAAAGTTCGTTGTATGCCTTATATCGGCCTTATGTTATTTTTTGTTTTATTTTTTTAGGTAATTAAGACTCAAAGCTTTATGACCAATGATCCTTGTGTAAAGTATACAGGGTAAGTCATTTAATTTGAAACTTTGAAATATCTCAGTTAGTATACATTTTACGAAAAAATGTTTAAATAAAAATTAAATGATTCGAGGGGGGAAATCAATAAGTACCAAAATTGGTCCTCATCCTCTTCCCCTTATGCAGATTCGGATCATTCGACTAAAAATAGGTAGATTTTGTCTAAAAGATTTTTTTTTATTTGTAATAGATGGCGCATTTCGTTTTAATATTCTGCTAACACTGCTCTGGGATATTCCCAAATCTCTAGATAATTCTCGTGTGCTTGCATGAGGATTAGCGGCCGTTGCTGCTAATACAGTAATTTCATTATTTCCACCTGTGACTGTTGCTCGACGAACTCTTTTTTTCGGTTAAACACTCCCGTTTGTAGTAAACTGCTAGACTGTACGGTGAAATGAAGTACGTGATCGAATTTTATCCGGAAAACGCTGAGCGTAGATATTAACAGCATCATCAAGATTCCTGCTTGCTTCTCCATAAATCAAAATCATTTCTATTTTATCTTCCACTGTTAAAAAATCCATTATGAATAACTACTTAACGAAAGGAGGTCTTTTTCTTTGCAAATTAATCTTCGAACTAAATTGATTAATGCTAAACTACAAAGAGTTTCTTTATACCTCAATATTAATTATTATAAATACCTCAATTAGAATTAAATTAATTTATTGACAAAATAATGTTTTTCTACCTTAAATAAGGTATTTTTATTAAAAATAGTACAATAATCCTTTAAATTAAAGGATTTAATGCTGGCAGGTAAAAAGTGGCCATGGTGCGCAATTGATAATCATCACCGAATGAAATAATGTATAAAACTTAAACCAAAGGAAACTTAAATATTAGTTAAAAAATAGTGGGTACTTAAAAAAATCAGATTTAATTTAATAAGATAATTATTACCAAAAAAGTGATATTTTTATAGAAAAATTATTGCAGAATCGTATAAAGAAGAAAAATCGATCAAAATTGATTTTTTTTCATTACAGCGCCATCTATTACAAATATGAAAAAATGTTTTAGACAAAATCTACCTATTTTTAGTCGAATAATTCGAATCTGCAATAAAAAATAGGGTGTTCAATTGGAAATTTTTAAGTTACCCCCTGTTCCCCCTATAAGGAGGATTTTAGTACTGATTGATTTCCCCCCTCGAACCATTTAATTTTTATTTAAAACACTTTTTCGTAAAATGCTAGCTGAGATATTTTAGTTTCAAGTAAAATGACTATACATGTATTTGCAAATTTGAATGTTTGCATTTCGAAAAAAACGGTTTTTTAGAATCAGCGTTGTTGTCCAGTCTAATAGAAGATACGTAAAAATGGCCTTATTTACTGAAGCCGGCCCTGCTTCAGTGGGTACGTTTTCTTATCTTTCAGCGAGTTCAGGAATATTTCAGCAGACGTATGCTTTTCGCTGAAAGAAATTGTCGCGATTTGACAGGATCGTGCGAATATTTCA